ACTTCAGGAAGGGTACAGATGATGGATGAAGTGACGTGGCCTGGATTTGGTGCTGTGTGCACTTGGTCAGCCTTCTGGTTGGGAACACCTTTCACTGACGGGACATAACAACAATGTGGAAGGGGAGGAGGAAGCATCTATTGAACACTTCCTCTATTCTGGGTACTCCTAGTTGTATGTTCACTTAATCTCCACAAAAACCTTATGAGTATGGAGAGGGATAACCATCCATTTACTTTTGAAGAAACTGAGGTCATGGAGCTAGTAGCTGAGAGCCAGTTCTTACCCTAAGGCTTGTCTGATTCCACAGCTCAAGTGTTGAGCCAATACTGGGATGGAGTATGTCAGAACAGAAGCAAGGGGTCAAGTGAAGATGAACACTTCAATATGATTTAGGGTGGAGGTGGGGGTAGTGTATTATCGTCAGCTCTATGGGCTCAGCTACAAACAGAACCTACTTCTGTGACACTTGTCCTAGTCAAACACAAAGTACTTTAATATTATCTCATATAAAATAGGCAGATAATACAATGTGCAAGCATATACATTGACATCAGATAGACCTGGGTTAGAAATTCATTTCACTATTTGTAATCAGAGTAATTTGGAGAGAACACTGCATCTTTAAGCCTTAAGTTCCTCACTTATGAAATGAAGATGATAATTATCCACTTAGAATCCTTATGAGTTAACATGTGTTACCCAATTTTATATCAGGGGCTCTGTGACCAGGTCTGAACCACTATGTCATATTCAAATGAATCTGATCCAACAGCCAAAAGTAAACAAAAGTGATTCCTATCTTTATACTCACCTCTCACAGAATACTGTGTGGGAACTCACTCCAACCCATGGCAACATCTCTTGTAATCCTCTTCCTTTGCTATTTCTCCCATCCCCCAGCTCCCTCAGAGCATTGCTCCCACTCCCAAAACAAAATTTCTCTGGAAACTTGAGCTTATTTTCTTCCTTGTATTCCCTTTCCCTCCTACTTCTAGGCCTTCTTCTCTCCTGAGGAAAATTTAACATTTTCACTACAGACCCATTTCAAATTCTACCTTTCTCTGCCCTTTGCCCTGATTTTGCATCACAAAAAGCAGCAAAGGGGAAGGAGTGAGGTTTAATGGCCAACAGCAGAATTTTCTTAAGTTAGTACTATTTTAAAATAAATGTCATGCATATAAGAGCAAGCATGCAAAGAATTCTTTTATTTCCTCTTATATTAGTGATTTGTAAATTTTGGTACTCTTTTCTCAGCAAGGTACCTATACGAGTGTTTGTTTCCCTTAAGATTGTTACTTTCTATAATTTTATATTCCTTCATGACAACAGTGATGCAGTGATAAAAAAAAAGAGTGGACTAAAAACCAAACAGAGAAACTCCTGGGCAAGTCAGTAATTTGTCCTCAACCTACTGGTGTATTGGGCAAACAATTCTTGGTCATGTACTAGTAGTGCTGTCCAACTTATTGCAAGATGTTTAGTATCCTCAGCTACTAAAAAACTGTAGTAATTGCTTACTCCCACCAAGAGTAGGCTTTCATAGTCCTCTTGCCTTGTAATTTAAGGATTTTTTTTCTATACAAAAGCCCATTTTGGTTGCTATGACAAAACAACACAGACTGTGTAGCTTATAAACAACAAAAACTTAGATCGCACAGTTCTGCAAGTTGAAAAGTCTAAGATCAAGGAGCCAACATGGTCAATTTCTTGTGAGGACCCTCTTTCTGGTTCATCTGGCGCCCTCCCTGTGTGTCCTCACATGGTGGAAGGGGCCAGGGATCTTCTTGAGGACTCTTGAAGGCACTTAGCCTGTTATAAAGGCTCTGCCTTCATGATTTAAGCACCTCCCCAAAGCCCCACCTCCTAATGCCATCATCTTTGGAGATTAGGATTTCACCTATGAGTTTGGGGCTGGGGAGTGGGGGAAGCATAAATATTCAGACCATAGCAGCTAGATATAGAGGGCCTTGGTGAAAACCCCTAACATGAAACTTATTTTCCTCACTAAGCACATAACTATGCCATAAAGTCTTTAGACTTAACATTTGAGATCCAGAGAATTTTGTTTTGTTTATTTGCATCTTCTCTCCTTTTGCTTTGTTTCTTTTTTGTCACAGGTTATTCTATTCATTAGTCATTTTAAAGAACAAAATTTTGGTTCTATTAAGCATTCCAATTGTTTTTATTTTAATTCTCAATTTCATTGTTTCTTCCCTAATGAATATATTTTCTGTCCTTTGCACTTTTTTATGACTTTTTCCATCTTCTTGAATTGAATAGTTAGCTCATTTGTTTTCAGTATTACTGTTTAGGGAGATGAGGTCAATTCTGTAACTTTCCTCTAAGTATTATTTTAACTGTCTATGATACATTTTGACACATAATAATTTTTTTATCAATGAGTCCTAAATTTTATATAACCTGCCCAAAGATTTACTCTTAAAACTATGGTTTATCTCAGAGATTTTTTAAATTTATGAGATACATGAAAATTTTAAATAATTTTTCCTATTGACTTGCAAATTGATTTCATTGAATGAAAATAACATATTCCCTGTGACTTTGATTATTTCATATTTATTGATTCCTTTTTCTGGGATGGTATAGAATTAAATTTTGTGAATGCTCAAAAACTGAAAGAATACTTACATGAATTTTACCTCAGTTTTTAGAAGGCCTTTGCATTTATTATGCTTTCTTGATCTTTTATTCTGTTTACTAGTATATAACAACCCTGTTTGTCCTTTTTATTCTTTTTTGTTTGGTAAGTTCTATGGCTCAGATATCTTTTTTTTTCATATTTTCCTGTTTCATTATTTTATTCCATTATTTTCAACTTTTCTTTATATACTTATTTTTAATGTTTCTTATAAATTATATATTGCTGAAATCTAAGAATCTCTGCTTTTATTTAGTTTAACCCATTTATATTTATTGTAACCACTGTAATATTGAGAAATTTATGTATATTTAATTCTTGATTTTTTACCATGTTTTGTTGTGTTTCTTTTTTTTATTCTCCTAACTTCCATTGGATATTAAAATTCTTTTCTAATAGTGTTAGAGCTATAAATTCTATATTTTGACAGAGAAACAGAGATCAGACTATCAATCCCCAGAGGGAAAGTAGGGGAAGAGGGGGTAAGGGGAGAGATCAACCGAAGGACTTGTGTGCATGCATATAGGCCAAACCAGTGGACACGGACAACAGGGGGATGAGAGCATGGGGGGTGGGAGGGCAGGGAGGTTGGGGGTTAATGGGAAATGAGGATACATTTGTAATACCTTAACCAATAAAGAAATTTAAAAAATTCTATATTTTTATATCTGGTAATTAGGTCTAACTTATAAGCTCAATAGTTGTGTTTATTGCTCAATCTAAGTTTAAATGTTATTAATTTCTAAATCTTACCCACCCATCCCCTATAGGTTAAGAATTTTAGCAAGAGTTTCTTATTTTCCATTGCACCATCTCCATATTGATGTTGATACCATCTGGAGTTTTAGAACTAGATTATACTTCGATTTTGTTGTTGGGCCATTACTTATATAGACTTTAAAAATGTTTAAGTTTATTTTTAAATTATAGTTGACATACAATATTATATTAGTTTTAGGTGTACAACATAGTGATGAGAAATTTGTATCAGACTTGAGTAACTTTAATAAATTATTTATCCTGTCAGCCTGAGCAATGGGTTTCTCCAGCCAAATTCCTGCCCTGATCTTTACACTGCTGCCTTGGGTTAGCACTGCTGATTCCTTTTTTTAAAATTTATTTTTATTTTATTTTTAATATGTTTTTATTGATTTCAGAGAGGAAAGAAGTGGGAGAGAGAGATAGAAACATCAATGATGAGAGAGAATCATTGATTGGCTGCCTCCTGCACACACCTACTGGGGTTCAAGCCAGCAACCCAGACATGTGCCCTGACCAGGAATCAAACTGTGACCTCCAGGTTCATAGGTCAATGCTCAACAACTGAGCCAGCCAGGCAGCACTGCTGATTTCTTGCCCTGCAATTGTGGGGGAAAGAAAATGGACCTGTGAGAAGCTGTCTTCCAATCTGTCTCTCATCTGTGATCCCTGGCTCTCTCCTGCTTCAGGTCACATTCCCTGAGGCTGTCCCCCCACCTTAGGCCCAACAACCTTCTATCACTGTAAGAGTTTTTTGTTTGTTTGTTTGTTTTTACTAATGATTAATCTCTCTTTTTTTAAAATTTAAATTCTTTATTGTTGAAAGTATTACATATGTCTCCTTTTCCCCCCATTGACATCCCCCTGTCTGTTCCCATCCCCCAGCACATGCCCTCACCCTCCCTACTGTCTGTGTCCATTGGTTATGCTTATATGCATGCATACAAATCTTTTGGTTGATCTCTTACCCCCTCCTTCCTTCCCTCTGAGGTTTAACAGTCAGTTCGATGTTTCTATGTCTCTGGGTCTATTTTTGTTCATCAGTCACTGTAAGAGTTTTTATGTTGATTTCTGAACAAGGCTGATATCCATCAATCTGTCATCCCTGTACAACACCAATATTGGCATAGTAATTGAGTCAGAATGGAGGGTCTAATGGCCTGTGTTAGTTGCCATCATATCTACTACTAGAAATTTTAAATTTGTTGTATGTTCTTGATAGGGTTATTAGTAGACACAAAAGAGATAATATATATGAAAGCTATTCAAAACTGTGTTACATAAATGTTTACTATGTATTATTATGGGGTATTTTTTCTCTCTAGCGTTTTGAATGGACAAAGAAGTTGGAAAGAAGAAAAAAGGTAACTAGCTCATTATGGCAATTTTGCACTATTTTCAGCAGGCAGACTTTAAGGTGAGTTGCATATTCATTACTGGAATATTAGAAAAAGCCTTTCTACTTCCTTTTTTCCTTACCTATTTAAAATTCTGATTTGATTTTTTCAAACACAGCGGTCTGAAGAATATGAATCTTGAAGGGATGGGGAGAAGGATCAAAAGTCAGTGTGAGTTTGTTTTTCTCTCCCATGTTGCATTGACAACAAACTTCAAAGGAAAAATTAGTATAGATATTGTTTGTACTTAAAGATGGATGTTGACTTGATTAGAAAGATGGTAGCTAAGTCCTCCCTCTCATCATTATGCTGATCTTTTCTAGAAGAAGGAAGTTTTCCTTAAAGCTAAAAATACAGGGCAAAAGAGGTGGCACATTTATATCTTCTTGGTAATAATGAATTATTCTATTCAACTTTAAAAGTATATGATTATATTTGTTCCATTCTGCAGAATGTTTCACTAAAGAATTAAACCAAATAAGTAAAAGAACATGCTTATAGTCTCTTTCTTTTTCCAGGAAGTACCACTAAAAGAAATGTAGGCACTTTATCATTTCTTGGGGTATTATACAGCATAATGATTTTCTGTACTCTTTATACTAATGGGATAATTATTTTTATTACTCGTTGTGACAATGCAATATAAAATCATAATCACCATATTTTGGAGACTCTAAAATGTATTCAAACAAAAAAGAACAAAAATGAGAATTTCCCACACAGAATTAGATAAGCAGTTTTTTAAAAACAAGCTATTTTTTTCTGGTGGTAGAAAGCATTAAGAGCCAAACTTCTTTATCTAAAACTGACTACCGTGTTTTGCTTTGATAATTAAAGAGTGCTGAATTAAATAACAACAAATTGCCTGAAAATTTGAGTGAAATAATGACAAAACTCAAGTTATCTCATAATAACTTTTCTAAATTTATTAAGAGACCTGATAATTTTAACATAATCTTCGGCGCAAATTTTAAAGAGATTGATTTAACAGCCTATGATCTAAAGTCTACACAAATTTGAATTTGTCCTAGATGTATGAAACATCCTGGCTGATTCATTAGGCTTGTCTAATATTTAAAAGAAGTCTGTAACCATACAGTCTTCACAGATGCCATAATATTTACCCATGCATAGTATATATACTATTTCTGAGAGAGATCAATGCAGTAGAGACATCATGCTGTTTCTTCTTAACCTGTTTAGACAAGTGGAGGATCCCAGATGCGAGCTGCCCAAGGCAACTTATTAGTGAGCCTTCCAGTTGGTATGGTTTCAGCCGCATTTAACAGAATACAAACTCCATTGGAAACAGTAACATAAAAAGGCTGAGGTAGGGCGATTCCAGACTTGGTTAAGTAAGTGGCTTATTGCCATCGCTGAGGACACAGGCTCTCTTCATTCTGCTGCTGCTCTTTGCTCAGATGTTGGTTTTTTGACCTCAGGCTTGCAGGATGGCTATAACAGCTTCAAGTGAGTGGCAACACTAAAGGCTCCCTCATCTCCTTTTTTAAGACTGAGAAAAACTCTTCCACACTACAGACATGCCCATTCCTTTACTGGCAAGGAAAGTGGAATTTTCATGATTAGGTTAGATTAATTAAGATTATCCTCCCTAGGGCTGGGGAAATCCAGCCTTTTCTAAAGTACACAGTCTCCAGGTGGCTGAACAAAATCAAGTTGTTGATCACAGAAAGATGAGTGGATGAAATAGCAGACACTGAATGGTCAGCAGTGTCTGCTCTGCTGAGTCAGAGTAAGAAACTGAAAGGAATCAACCCCTAAAGGTTGTGGTAGGGGAATAAATGTTACAGAACAACTGGGCAATACTATTCTTTTTTTCTCTGATTTGGTAGGGCAGTGTCAATCCCTTTTCAGGGAAAGGTAAAACACGATGATTATGTCCCTTTATTAAAGAGATAAGAAATTTCCTACATGGAGGAGACAGTGGTTCAGTATTTGTAAGTAAAATAAATTTGTAAGTAAAATAAATTTGGGGGGAAACATAATGGAATCCAGCATTGATGGATTTGGCTCTTTTCCATCCTTTGGACCTGCCTTTTCCATTGTTGGCCTCTCAGCAGGTTTCCTCTCCTGTTTCTATGGCCAGAGCTCAGTTCGGTGTCTGTTCCCAAGTCCATCGCTGCCTGGAGGGCTGGCTTAATAAACATCCAGGGTGTGAGATCAAAACAAATCGCAAGTTTGCTTTCATTGTGCTTGGAATAATCACCATCCCCAACCTCTACAACTCTGCTTAATCTAGATCAGAGGTCAGCAAACTAATCTGGCCCACCACATGTTTTTGTAAATAAAGTTTTATTGGAACATAGCCCCTTTCATTTCTTTAAGCATTGTTAATGGCTGCTGGCATGTTACAATGGCAGGTTTGAGTAGTTGTGACAGAGACCTTATGGTGTGCACAGCCTAAGATATTTTGTATTTGATTCTTTACAGAAAACATTTGTCCGCTCTGTTATGCAGGACTTTCTTTTATTTGCTTTAAACTACCTTCTGTAAATAGCAACTTTATTCTGGGAAGGAATGTGTGGTGGTTAATTTTATGTCTCAACTTGACTGGCCACAGAGTGTCCAGATTAAACACTGTCCGTGTGTGTGGGTTTTCCAGATGAGATTAGCTTTTGCATTGGTAGATTCAGTAAAGTAAATTGCCCTCCCCAGTGTGAGTGGCATCATCCAATCCATTCAGGGTCTGAATAGAACAAAAGGTAGAGGAAAGAGTCCAGAGGGAGCAACTGGAACATCTCATCATCTTCTCCTTCCCACAGACGACAGTTTATCATTGGCTCCCCTGATTCTCGTGTGTGTGTGTGTGTGTGTGTGTGTGTGTGTGTGTGTGTTCCTATTGGTTCTTTGGAGAACCTATTATAAAGTCAAAACTATGCACATCTTATCACTAGTTGTATGATTAGATATATTTTACCCATTTCCCTTGTGATTTTTCCAAATAGAAGAAGCCTAATTTATGTAAGATATCTACATAAAGTCAAATATATTACTTTCCCAGCAGATTTGTGCTGTTTATACAGTATTCCAGCCACTGCTGTGCTGCACTCAGTTTGAAGGGTTTGAAGCAGGGGAGTGTCATGTTAGATTTGCATTTTCCAAAGATCACTGGCTACAGACTACATGCGGATTGTGGAATGGGAAGAATAGACAACAGAAGACCAGTCCTTTGACTATTGCAGAAGTTCTGGTGGGGGATTATGGGAGCTTGAACCAAGGCATTAGCAGAAGAAATGATAAGGACTGGCTAGAACCACATCTGAACTGACTGGTTTCCCATGAAACACACTTCCTTTAAGGAGCTTATAATGTAATTGAAGAGGCAACTCATATGTATAAAATCACAGAAACAGTGTATAATTAGGAAGTAAAACGAATAGTTCAAACTCTGAGGGACACAGCACTTGAGAGCAAGACATGGGTCAGAACTCTAATGGTTGGGATTTGGAGAGAGAGGCCAGAGCAAAAGAGGTAGCAAAAGGCAGACAATAAAGGAGGGGCCCTATACAGCAGAAATGGCACATTGCGGGGGAGGGGGAAGAACAAATCTCATTAGATAAGGTCAAATTATGAGACCTTAACAAGACAGAGTTTGATGTGAGATTAAAGAATGAGTCATTAAAAATGTTTTACATCAGACGGTTACAAGATGAAAGCAAGGTTTAACAAAGTTTAGTTTTAACAAACTCTTGTGGTTAATTAGACCAAGGAGCTCGCTGCCTGTGGGGTTGTTGAGTGGGGACAGGACTTGGTGGCAATTAGTAATGAGGACAAGGAATTTAGTATTAGGAACATCCAACAGGTTGGAGATGACTCATTTTCTTTAGACAGACAATGAGCTTGAAATGATGATAAGTTTTCTAATAATAAATGTTTAAAGGCAATATAGACTGGGTGGTTTTATTCATAGACTGGGTGGTTTTATTAGTTGTGTTCCTCTGCATTGCTTACAATCCCATCTTGTCTTTCTTCATTAGTGTCCCCAAAGGCATGTTTATGATTTGTGCAAAGGAAAATTCTGCTTTCTGAAGCAGAACGATATACTCTGATACATTATTTCAACTTCATGTTAAGTAATATTTTGACATAATAAAATTGAACTGCCCAGTCAAATTTGTTTGTATTCTTTACCAGTTTTAATTCATAATGACCGATTTCTAAGAAATTTGAATTATAAATAGAATTATATTTTAGTGAGCTTGGTAAAATAAAAATAAATAATTTATAGTATTTAGCTTCAATTAAAATTCATATATATTGCATGCTACATCAAAATAGCATCAGGATATATTGTTCATTTTTATAGAGAAATTCATACACTCACATCTCATTTACAGATCTTCTCTAGTTTATTAATGACCTACCCCCCACTGTGCTTTTTTAGAAACATCGATGAGATAAAAGTACTCTTGGTTCCTCCATCATCCTACTCATCAACTCTCCTGAAATAAACTAACACCAAAATATCAATATAACATCTTGTAGAAAATTTCAAATTTCAATGATCCAAACACACTACAAGTGACATACACAGAAAAACAAAACAAAACATAAAAATGATGTCTTTGTTACAGAGACTAGCTTCAGAGAAGAAAGGAACTGTAGGAAGACATCTGCAAGTGGGGTTTTTAAGTTAATGGAATTTGTTGTAACTCTATCAGGAAAGCACAATTGCTGTACAGGGCCTGTTGACGCTTTGAAACTGTCTTGCTTATGGAGAATGGGATGCAATGATCATATCCATTAAAACAGAGAAGCTTTCTTTTTCCCATTTATTGTCCGATGCTTTCAGAATCATTAAAAGATGAATTGGCGAGAAAAAAAGACAATCTTAGAAGTTGAAGTGATAACAAAAACAACAACAAACATAATCTGATTAAAAAATGGGAAAAACACTTGAATCGACATTTATCCAAAGAAGATATACAAATAACCAATAAGCACATGAAAAGATGTTCAGCACATTAATTTTTAGGGAAGTGCAATCAAAACCACAGTGATATTCCACTTCACACCAATTAGGATGGCTATTAAAAAACAGAAAAACAAGGAGAGAGAGAGAGAGAGAGAGAGAGAGAGAGAGAGAGAGAGTTGGCAAGGATGTAGAGAAATTGGAAACCTGTGCACTACTGGTGGGAATGTAAAATAGTGCAGCTGCTATGGAAAACCATATGGCAATTCCTCAACAAATTAAAAATGGAATTATGATATGATCCAGCAATTCCACTTCTGGGTATATACCTAAAAGAATTGAAAGCAGGGACACCAACAGATATTTATATGCTGCTGTTCATGGCAGCATTATTCACAATAGTCAAAAAGGTGGAAGTAATTCAAATGTCCATTGATAGATGAACAAATAAGCAAAATGCAGTATATACATACAATGGAATGTTGTTCAGCCTTAAAAAGGAAAGGAATTCTGGTACATGCTTAAACACAGATGAACCTTGAGGTTATTATGCTAAATGAAGTAACCTAGTAATAAAAGAACAAATCTGCATGTATTATTACACTGATATGCGTTACCTGGAGTAGTCAGATTCATAAGATAGAAAATAGATAGTGGTTGCCAAGAGCTGGAGAGGCGGGAATGGGTGTTATTATTTAATGGGTATAGAGTTTTAGTTTAGGAAGATAAAAAAAAAAGTTCTGGAAATGGATGGTTGTGATGCTTGCACAGCAGTCAGAATGTACTTACTGCCATTGCACTGGACACTTAAAAATGGTTATATTTTACCACAATAAAAAAAGATTCAAAGGGACCCAGAGAAGTCAGATAACTGGAAGAACTAATTAATGGCCTAAACTTGATCCAAATTAGTTGAAATATGCATTGCTCTGCATATCCACCTCATCAGAGCTTTCCTTCTAATCAAGATTATTATAGGGTGGAACTTCCCAAATATGGAAGGCAGATCAGATAGTATATAAACAAACAAAAAATTAAATAACAATAGGGGAAATAGTAAATAAATTATGTTTGAACTTACAAAAAATTATTAAGCAACCAGTAAAATGCTTTTGTTTAGTGCTTAATAACATAGACTGTAACACTTGATTTAAAATGATATTGAAATCTATAATAATAAAAGCATAACATGCTAATTAGACTGGACTTCTGGACATCCTTCCTTCCAGACAAAGCAGTGGCGGAGCTGCCCCCTGGTGGTCAGTGCACTGCCACAGTGGGGGTGCCCCTTGGCTGACCTGGATGAGCATTTGCTCCTGCTGCAAACGCTGCGAACCCTGGGCAGATGGGCAGGAACCCGGGCTTCAATAATCGATCATTGATCATTGCCTCCTCGCCACAGCCTCCTCCGAACCCCAGAGGCTGGGAGGCCAATTCTTGGCCACAGGACTAAGGCCTACTCCCCTGACTCTCAGTGCTATTGTCCCTGGGCCTGTGAGTGCTCCGGCTCCACAGAAGATGCCGGACCAGTGAGCAGCCACTCAGAGGGCGGGTCCACAGCCATTGGCTGATAGGGATGAGCAGTGCTCTCACAGCAGGTGATCCCCTCTGGCCACGCCCCCACCAGTGTATGAATCCCGTGCACTGGGCCTCTAGTATATACAGATGTATGGAAAACAAAACATACATATGTGTGGCTGGACAAGGATTCTTGAGTTCCTCTTCAGCCCTTTGCTCTTTCCTATCTCTAAACCAGGTCAGAAGGGTAACTGAAATCACATTATGAGAGTGATTAAATATTAGAGACAGAAATACAAATAATTTCTACTAGATATCCACACCAGAGGATTAGAAAGACCCATGGCCAAGATCCCTGATCACCTTTCTAGAGTGGAACAAGAGAAAAAAGGTTTCCCTGTTTTAAATACAAAAAGGTTGCATGGAAAATCCATACTTTGGGCAATTCACTCAAATAATTCACTTCCTTGAGGAAGTGGTGACTAAGGTTAAGATCTGAGTGATACCGGGTAGTTTTCATGGCAAAAAAATGGAGGGATAGTAGGACTTTCCAAAGAGAGGAAACACCTTGGACCCAGTGCAAGAACAAGAGCAAACAGGGTACTTTCAAGGAACTAAATGAAGAGCATGCAGTGTGATGAAGCCAGAACTATAAGTAGGGCCAACCAGTGGCCTTTTAGGTTATCTTTTAAGGTCATCTTAAGATTTTGGAGTTGTTTTTTTCCCTCTCTAAAAACAGGGAGAACCACTGAATGGTTTTAGTGTGCTTGGGTGGGGGCACTGGCAGTGGCATGATGAAATTTGATTGATGCAGGAACCACTCTGCCTGTAATATGGAGAATAGATTTTGGGGGTTCAGAGTGGAAAGGGTACCAGTTAGAAGACACAGGTGATACACTTGATATGGGTAGCAGAAAAGGAGAGGGAGGTAGAAAAGATAACACCTTGGTTTTAGCTTGCACAGCATAGTGAATGTTGGGCTCATTACCGACATAGGGAACACATCATAAGATAGTTCAGAATTTGATGATTTTATGATTCACAAACTCAGTTTGAGATAAGTTCATTTTTAGGGGCCTTTAGATGGTACATAGTTTTTATTTCATTTTAGAGCTCAGAGGAGATAACATGTCTAGGCTTATCTGGGGAGGGGTAGTAAAAGAACTGGGATATTATGCTAAGCAAAACAAGTCAGTCAAAAAAAGCTAAGAACCATATGATTTCACTCATATGTGGGATATAAAACTGAAACTAATAGACACCGACAATAGTATGGAAGTTACTAGAAGGAAGGGGAGTGAGGGTAGTAAAGGGTAAAGGAGGCCAAATATATGACGACGGAAGAGGATTTGACTTTGGGTAACAAGCATACAGTGCAATATACAGATCATGTATCATAGAAATGTACACTTGAAACCAATGTGATCTCATTGACCAATGTCACCTCAATAAATGTACTTAAAATAATAAAAAGAAATTTTAAAAACATTCAAGGACATAAATGAAATCCCCTAATGAGAGGTTATAGGGTGAAGAAAAGAGAACTTGGCACTGGGTTTTAAGGAACTCTAACAACTATAGGCTGGCTAGAGAAAAAAAGAAGAGCCTTTAAAAGAGAAGGATTAATCAGAGAAGCAGGAAGTTAAAAAACAGAACAATGCTGTGTCACAAAAGTCAAGAGAAGAAAGAGCATTTCAGAAAAGAAGTCAGAGACCACAGTGTTCAATATTGCTGAGAAGTGAAGTGAGATGAACTCTGAAAAGAATTTAGCAACATGAGAGTCATGGGTGACTTGAACAAGAGTTGTGTGGGTCAAGGGTTGGAGATGTGAGATTAGAATGGGCTGAAATTTCAGTAGGTTTGCAATAAGAGGAAAGAGACAAAGAGAGGGAATGGGTGTAGATTTAATAAGGGAACACAATTTTTTGCTTATTTTCTAATTGGAGAGGTTTGAGTATACTTAAAAGCAGATGGGAAGGATCCAGTTGAGAGACTTTAGGGGTGAAAGAGCAGGCATATTAGGTAATGTGAGTGTTCTGAAAAGTAAGAGAGAATGGGTTGGTTCTAAGCAAAGGGAAAGGACTTGGTCTCAGAAAGGGAACAGGACACCTCTAGTGTAGTGAAAGGGAGAGAGGACAGCATAGGAGGCCACAGAGGGTAACAAGTTTGAGTTTGGGAAGCTGAGAGAATTTGTGTTTTGTGGCTTCTATTTTCCAAGAGTAACAGGCTAAGTTTTGTGTTGATTATGAAGAGGAAGGTAGTAATTATGGTTAGAAGTTTCAAAACTGAGGAATTCATTTAAAGTGGTGGCTGAGAATGACAGAGAGGACATTTACCAGAGAAATGTAATAAAATTTTTAATCATTTTTTAAAATATATTTGTATTTATTACAGAGAGGGAGAGATAGAAATATCAATGATGATAGAGAATCATTGATCAGCTGCCTCCTGCAAGCCCCACATTGGGGATTGAGCTGGCATCTCAGGCATGTGCCCTGACTAGGAATTGAACTGTGACTTCCTGGTTCATAGGCTGATGCTCAACTACTGAGCAACACCAGCTGGGCTATAATACTAATAAGGTTTTAAACAATGTTGAAGGCTCACTTGAAATCAGTGATTATAAATTTAGGGAGGAACCAATCTTTTCTCAATTGGGGTTCTCCAAC